TGTGCAAAAAGGAAGTATCTCAAACTCATATCTTTTTTATAGGATTTAATAATTGGATAAAATAAAATATTACTTCTAAATCACAGAAAATATATGTAGCCATTATAAAATAAGATTATAAAATAAGTGCAAGTCATGTTTTGAATGATGAAAATAATGAAAGTAAGTATAATCAGTGATAAGTTTGAAGAGAATCAATGTCCGCAATAGAGAATAATATAGCCTATACCACTTTATTTAAAAATATATATATAGTTAGGGATAAGCTAAAATTATTTTTGATGGTTAATTATAAATGCTATTCTATGGAATGGTATAAATGCTATCTTAGACACATGTACATGTATTTCAAAATAAAAAGTAAGGTTTAGCCACCCTTTCAGCTGCTGGGCATTTAATCCATACCCCAATTGATATTATAAAATTATGGTCTTCAATTTTAGCAAAATCATTCAAAATCTTTTAGATTTCAAAATGTTTTAAAGGATAATTACGCTGGCTCTGATCTTTACTGGTTGCATGATAGAATGTGTGACACCATTAGCAGGTTTAGAGTTTAAGCTGAACATTTGAAAAATATTTGTTTGGAAATATGACAAGAGACACCATAACAACTGTGAATACAGTCATGGTCCTCATTATGTGTCTTGACTTAAAGCTACAGTCTCACTGACATCCCGGCAGAGCCCTGGTAGACTTCCAGGGCTCTACCAGGAACAACCGGGGTACATCCCTAACTCTGCCGGCAACGTTTGGGATGATCCGGGAACATCCGGCATTCGACATTCAATATCACCGGGGTGGTCTGGGATGATCCGGGAAGTAAAGCTTTGAAGGCTTCATCCTAAGCTCTGCCTGGAATGTCCAGGGTTTCACCGGGGAAGCACAGTAGCTCTGCCGACACAAACCGGGGATGATCTCCGGGTATATAGCCAGTAGAGCTACGGCAGAGCCCTGGAGGATGCCAGCAGAGGATGACGATGGAGCTATGGTTGATCCAGGTAGAGCCCCGGCAAGGCCCAGTTCATTTAAAAAGAATCACAACAATTTGCAATGATCGCACTTGTTTGTATAAAAACCCTTCCCATTTCCCTCCTATCAGGTATTGCATAAGGATTTTTCAGAAAATCATCATGAATTACTGTTCTGGAACAATAGATATTATATTAAATGAAAATTATGTATCAATGTTATCATTTTTTGCGGTTTTCAATCTACTGGGGGTCCAAGGAAGCACCGGTATGAACCGTAGCTTCACCTGGGCTCTGCCTGGATGGTCCGGAGCGCATCCTGGTTGGTTAGTTGGGAATTACCGTAATGCTGTCGGGGTTACTGTGACTGCAACAATAATTTCATCCTGGATTGTCCCGGATAATCCAGGTAACTTACCGGGTTGGTCCTGGGCTCTGCCGGGAGTAAGTGAGACCATAGCTTCAAATTGATGGGTGCTGATAAATCAAATTCTACTTGTTATACCTTTCAATTTCAGTTATAATATCAATTACATGTACTTTGTCCTTCTAGGAAGTTCATAAAATCTTAGAATATCTTTAAATAACCTTAGCCCACTGACCAGTTTACATTAAATCTGTAGAAGTAGTACATTCTATATCCAAAAAAAATTTTCTTTTACTTCTGGGCATATTTTGGTTGGTAATATTGTCCAACAATATTTTCCTTGATCTTCATTAACTTTCATAAAAGTCATTGAATAAACACTTGTATCAAACAAATATATTGATATATTTGTTATCTTCACATATCAGTAAGGTGAGGTCTATATTTGTATAGATGCAAGGCTACTGATCTGAAGGTCTCTGGTTTGATTCCTAGCCAACACTGTGTTATGAAGTCACACTTCTTGTATTTTTGTGTTTTTTTTTGCTTAATTATTGCAAGAATTGAATTTATTTCAAATGGTTTTAATCTACTTTTAGGATAACTTTTAAGTAGTGTGGTGTTTCCTTTTGTTTTATCAAGATGTTTTCGTAAGTACTCAGACATACGGACATTGGACAATCGCAAGTTTTTCTCTAGAACGCATATTTTTCAATGGTTTCTTGGTGACATTATGCAAACATATACGGTTTAGCGCATACACACTACAGATGTAGTTAATAAAAAAGTACACAGATAGTATACACAAAAAAAAATATGATTTGAACGAGTTATTAGAGAAGGGCAATTTTAAAATTAAAAGAAATAAAGTCAAACCTATGAGTTTATAATGGCTATAATGTTTTGAAGCAATGTCTTAATTACTGCTTGTGCTTAGAGGTATTCTTAATTAAGACCATTTAACAACTGGTTATATTATTAGTTATAAAAAGATTGTTGACAGGTTATATGGCCCTATATAAGTGGTTGTTTGTAAATATAACCCGAGCCGTTAGGCAAGGGTTATATTGCAAACAGTCGTTTATATACGGCCATATTACCTGTCAACAATCTTTGTAACAAATTTATAATACAGCAAGCATTTTTTTTTTAGAGAAAAAAGTAAGATGCTTTTATGAATCGACAGCAGCTGTGTATATAAAACTATATAAACATCAGGATTATCCAATGAAAAGCAACGTTACAAACGTGCAGTATTATAAACATTCATAAAGATTTAAAAGTAGATCAAAAGTTTTCTGAATTTACTGGCTATAGGGTCAAATGAACTGCTGAATGTCTGTAATAGATTTGCCCTGATTTGTATTTGGAAAAGTTAATTAAATCAATCAATTAATCAATTAATATACAGGTACTAAAATTGAGCTGTCCACAGTACAGAACCTGAACTGAGTGCACAGGTGTTCAGGCTGGCCTGGATCTATACTTGTGGCAAGAACTGATCATTTTCTGTTCAAACATGTCAAGGGTCATAGATTGCCACAGAATTGAAGCTCGATGTTTATAATATTAAAACATGGTCCTCTTCAAATTTGGTCTTACCCTGAATTTGTGATAGAGAGTTTAATATGGACTTCTTTTAGGCAAATTCTACATTGTATGTGGAAACAATCATATTATAAACTCTTAAGCTATGTTTTTGCTATTTCATTGTTTCAAGGCAGTGTCATTCCATGGTTCTTTTTTAAGTATGTCATTTGCGTCAATGGTTTGTTTGGGGATTCTAACAATGGTCTTGGTTCCTGCCACTTTGTCCATTCCCTTCTCAGTTTTTCCTCATTGTATTTCAAAGTGTGTCTTTAGTTTGTATAGTTAGAGATTACACCCCCACCTCCCTCTCTTCAATTTAGTCCCATATCCCCTTCCTTTCTTTTATCTTTAATTATACTTTTATGATATACTATTGTAGTTCTCTAATCCATTCACAATAATAATATGGTTTTTGAGAATGTAAGATGCTTGTACCATGAAGAAAATGGTGATAAATGTAATATAATTTATCATAAAAGTAGCAAAATGTAATCAAAGCATTGGCAGTATTGACTTCCACAAAGAATATTAATTCACTGTAACTGTACTTCTTTCAAAATTGCAAAAGATGAAAAAGATTGATCAGGTAATTTGCCATGAGTAACTTTCTTGATAAGAACACTAAAATTTAGAAGCTTTTGAGAAATAAAAATAAAAGCAATTCTGAAGCGTTATGGGTCTGAGCTAGGTGGCCTTGACATACCTTCCATGAACATACTTTGTGCCTGCAACAATTTCAGTTTTGCTACTATGAGCATAAACTGGAGATATTCTGAATTAGATCTACATGTACTTACATTATTTTTCAAAATATGGAAACGTTTTTCTGCCCTGTAAAAATAAGTGTGGCGCTAATTTTCAATCAATAAGGGGCCAAATCTGTCCACCTTGTCATTTTTTAAACTGTATGTGTTATTGGGGTTGGGGGCTGGAGGGATATGGACATTTTTGTCCTTCAATATTTAAAAGTTATTTCATTTACTTAATATCAAACAATAATTGCTGATTGTGGCAGTGGATCTTTTTCATTTATTGGAATTAATTTATGAGATTGAACTATAATTATTGTAATATACATTTAAATATATTTCATGAAGATAATATGTGATAATATAAAATCACAATTTAGTTGGGTTTTTTACCAATATTTAAGGTTTATTTAGATATATCAAAACAAAAAATCTTTTCTACTGTCTTTATATCCTTCTTTTCATGTGATGATTCAAATAAAACAAACAGAATGCTAATTAACTTCCATTGCAATATCAGAATTTTCAGCGCAAAATGGTTGTAACTTGAGATACAACCATTTTGCACTGAAAATTATGAGCAATTTGAGATACAACCTTTTGACAAATATTGATTTAACTTGTTAATTTTCAGAATCCATTTAAAATACTCACTGAGGATATGCATAACCACAAAATACATTGAAAATGTTAAAAATGTCATTTTGTGGAAAAAAGTGAGTTACAACCGTTTTGCGCTAAGCCCACGATATGAGCAAGATTTGCAATGGTTTCATGCATCCCCAACTCCCAAACAGAAAATTATACTGACAAATTTCTTTCATTATATGTATCCTGTTATCATTTTAATCACAATATAAAAATTTATTTTAAATCCTTAGACAGCAAATATATAGCATTTAAGGGTTAAATGGTCTGTTTGGACAAGCCTAAAGCCCATTTCCTAGTTCAAACTGGACAATACTCGGGCGTGTTACTTGAAGAGTGTGGCAAAAGTAGGGCTTAAACTTTTCATTCCTGGGTGGAAAAGCAGATTACTTGCACACTGAACCTACAGTACAGAATAAACCCTCTAGCATATTCCAGAATGTGACATAATTAAATATAAAATGGACAAATAACCTAAAATGGCCATAGTCTGTCTAAAAATGACACTTTCTAGTCAAGTAGGTATACCATATTGCCTATGGAGTGATAAAAAAGGTTATCTAAATATTATACTATCCAAGTCAAATGGATATTCTATATTGCCTCTAGAGTGATGAAAACGGTTATCTAAATATTATACTATCCAAGTCAAATGGATATTCTATATTGCCTGTGGATTGATGAAAAAGGTTACCTAAATATTATACTATCCAAGTCAAATGGATATTCTATGATGCCCGTGGTTGGGGATCTCACTCGAAGGATATCCTGTAAAGATGGTAAATAATCGGGCTGCGTTATTCTGTCAACATCATCAAGGTAACTGGAAAATAAAGAGAAAACAAGAGATTATGTATTAGGGCTGTCATTCAGTGCATATCGACGATAAATCGATATAGGATGACAAGTATCAGTGAATTTTCATAATTTATAGAGATTTAAATAATCTATCAAAATTATCGATTTTTCCAAATGTGTATTGATTATTGATCGGCAGAAAAAATATCAATGATACATCAATATCGTCTCTATCAAGACAGCTCTATTATTTATGTGGTTTTTGTAAAAACTTGTAACAAAAATAAAACCATTAGAAGTGACTATCTGAAACAGTGACAATCAATAACACCACTGTCCACCACTAAATCAGCTTGTAAGCAATTGCTTTTGAATATATATACCCTGTCAAATACTAGTTATTACTAATGGCAACAAGTGATTGAAAGGTCACCGATGCGTTTTTTGTTTGTTAAATGTTTAGTTTCACAGCACTCCAACATAATGTAAGTCATATGGTGCCAAAATGGTGCCAAAACAATCAAGATATTATTGCTTATCACAGGTGTTACAAACTTCTCCTGATTGATCTTATTGTAAATCAGATCTGTCTAAAAATAACAAAGTTGCATCAGTTTTAGCAAAAATAATTAATTTGACCTTCATTTTATGGTCGAGGTGAAGATAGTAAATATGGTTCCAATGTTTCATTGAAATCCAGTAGGCAGTTGCCAAGAAATAAGCCCTGAACTGTCAAGAAATAGCCCTGAACTGCCAAGAAATAGCTCTGAGAAACAGCCCTGAGACAAACATGACCCTACATACAGGGACTAACCATCGGTTAAAACATCTGATATAATAAATTGATGGATTCTGACCAGTGTTCCCTCTGTAAAAAAAACAATGATAAAAGTGTTATACCTCGCTTAGAAAAGGATAAAAAATTTAAAAACAACAATTTTCTTCATTATCCAACTGCATACTACAAGCTTTCATTTTACGCCTTTTCCCCAACAGTATTTCAGTCATATAGGCAGGTAGTTTCCAAATCATCGTACCTGGAGAGTTACACCAGTACTAGACTACCTTCCTCTGCGCTAAACTACCAAAGCATCTCCCGTGGATCGAACCCACGCCAGAGAGGTAACTGGATTAGAAGTCAGGGCTCGAATTTAACTTTTTTGGCCACTAGCAATTTTTTGCTAGTGGACAAATTTTTAACTAGCAAAAGCTGAATTCAACTAGCACTTTTTACGACAATGATGTTTTAATTCCAAAATTGTTTAAAATTGTAATTTATTTGGACGAGTTCGAACTGCCCTGGGTACGAATCAGCAACGTAAATTTTCACTCAAAAACTTGATTTAGGGTACAGGGATTCTCATCAAATGTCAATCTACATGTAAAAAAATAATAATGCAATATTGTCGCCATACCGACGATGTCTGGTCTGGATTATGCGCACAACAATCGGCGCAAAATATTTTGGCAACATTTCCATCGTCATCGAGTTCGTACGTAAGACTGACTTAATTGCAGTTCTTTCTCCCAATTTTTAACCGTTTTAACTGAAGGTCTGATTGTCTTTCTTTTGATAGACCGTGAATCATCTTCTGTACTCAGAGTATTGTTATCGGAAGACACATTTGCTTCAGTAATTGGAAAGAAGTTCGTTATTTTTCGTTTAGACATTTTATTCCGATACACAGACAAAATGACATTTGGACTGGTTTAAATTTGTGTACTTTTTTAAGCGAGGTTAAGGTATAGAAAATGTAAACCTGTCTGCGCACATAGTTTATAACTCGGCTTCCTGCGAATATTACGCCCCATTTATATTTTGGCTTTTCCTGACGAGCGTATTCCATTTTTTCTTCAACTCGCAAAAAATTGCGAGTAGTCATAAATCTAACTCGCAAAATCATTTTTCAACTAGCATTTTGAGAGTTTGCGAGTGTTAAATTCGAGCCCTGGAAGTCATCGACTCTTAACCCCCTCGACCACGGAGGCGGTCAATTGAGAATTTCATTTTGAAGACTTACTATTTAGCCGAATCGGTCAGCTGGTACTCTCTCCTCCTATCATAACACTCCTGTATTCCACTGTCAGCCCACAAAGCTTTGATAGCCTCTACAAACTGTTGTTCAAATGATGTTACTGTCTCATGATCAATCTGCCGTATCAAATTTGCATTCTCCTGAAAGTAGAGTAAAATCATAGTCTAGAATACGTGTCCTAGGGAGAGAATGAAAATTCATTGACATCTAAGGGGGAGAATTCATTGAAGACTAGAGAAAAATCATAGTCCAGTGTTTATTTTTCACCAATATATTCAGCGAAATTCGGCCCCATTCCCCCCTCAAAATAGTATGATTTTTTTCCCCCTCAAAGCCAAAATTTCCCCCTATACAGCAGCCCGAATTTGCCTGCAATGAATATCATTTTTTGCTAACTGCCGAAAACTGTTTTATTTTATGCCTGTAACACTGACTGTTAAGCAAGGTTGTTTACAAATCATTCTCAGGTAGGTAAGGGGAGCTACTCCCGGCGTCCCAACAAGTTTAACATGCGACGCGTCAGTATTTAAGATCCGTATATCAAGAAAAAGCAAATAAAATTCCCCCTCCTATTGCATTTTTCCCCCTTCAAAGGGCACAACCCCCTTCCCTGAAAAGTGAGAAAAAAAACACTGTAGTCTAGAATATGTCCAAGGGAGAGAATAAAAATTCATTGACATCCAAGGGAGAGAATTCATTGAAGACTGGAGAGCTCTCATTGATTCAGTGCAAAGTAAATTGACGATATATCAATATCAGACAACAAATATTGGTGATACACTGATATATCGATAATTACATACTTTATGTATTAACTACTTGTCTGCAATTCCTTTTTTCATACCTGTTAAAATACATTTATGTTCTTTTCTAATTTAGGTCTTGTTTATAATTTATGCCTGTTGCATGATTTTTGCTGACCATTTTTTGTCATCACTGCTATGAAATATGCTTCTGCCTACGTTTTGTTTCTAGACATTGAATTATCATAATCATATTATCGATTTTTTTAAGATGTGTATCAATTATTGATCAAAAGTAAAATATCAACGATACATCGAAGACAGCTCTATCGATGACTATTAATATCTATTTATCTTCTAGTGTTTCTCTTAGTGTAAACATCATCTGGCTTTCTATGAAGAAAAATTTTCTGTTTATTTTTGTGCAAGGAAGAAAACCTCTCTTATTTCTTTGTTTGTAAACTTAATCCCCTTTTATATATACCGAGATTAAAGAGATTGCCCACCTTGACCAAATTCTCATTTACCAAATGGACATAGCTATTTAAGACTTTTTTTTTTTAATGACTTACTGTTACCACAATTTTACTAAGGAAGAATATTGTTTCATGACTTTCAGCAACTGTTATTTTCTTGAGACATTTTTTCATCAAATACCAGTACATATACTACATACACTGTGATTTTTCACCCTATATAATGTCTCTTCCCCTTGCATATTTTCTTTAAAACCATACAAATTTTATTCCAAAAAATCAGAACTTTCACTAGCTTTTTATAAACTGGGGAATTTTAGTGATAATTCTTACCAAAATCAAGAAACTTAAAGGCCTCTTCCTAGTTAAGAGTAAACAAGCAAATTCATTGAATTTATATCCCCCGCCGAGTACTGGTTATTATTAACACAAAAATTAAAGACATAAGGCTTTATTTATATATTAATCATGGCATAAACTGTAAAATTCTTTGAACTTGAAGCCTTGTACCTTCAAACAAGAAGAGTTTTTAAGTTTTCACTATATACATATAAGGAAAATCTATGACCCCTGGAGTGGGGCCAATTTTGACCCCAGGGCTAAAATTTGAACAATTTTGGCAGAGGACCTAAATGTTATATCATATACCAAATATCAAAGCTCTAGGCCTTGTACTGTCAGACAAGATTTTTTTAATTTTGCATTTTTGAAAACTCCTTTTCTGGCCCCGTGTGACTGATGATTGTGATTGAAAATTACAAAATTTTACTAAGTCAAGGGCAATAACTCTAAAAATACTAAAAAATATCCAGGCGAAAATACCCAGGTGCACAACTACACATACTGATCAACATTCCTGTAAAGTTTCATGACTCTAGGTAAAATACTTTTTGAGTTACATGCGACACAAGTTGAACATTACAAAATTTTACTAACTCAAGGGCAATAACTCTAAAAATACTAAAAATATACAGACGAAAATACCCAGGTGCACAACTACACATACTGATCAACATTCCTGTAAAGTTTCATGACTCTAGGTCAAATACTTTTTGAGTTACATACGACACAAGTTGAAAATTACAAAATTTTACTAAGTCAAGGGCAATAACTCTAAAAATACTAAAAATATCCAGACGAAAATACCCAGGTGCACAACTTCACATGCTGATCAACATTCCCATAAAGATTCGTTGAATTCCAGCCATTAGTTGCAGAGAACTACTCCGGAAACGAAATTCGGACAAAATTTTACTAAGTCAAGGGCAATAACTCTAAAAATACTAAAAATATCCAGACGAAAATACCCAGGTGCACAACTTCACATGCTGATCAACATTCCCATAAAGTTTCGTTGAATTCCAGCCATTAGTTGCAGAGAACTACTCCGGAAACGAAATTCGGACAAAATTTTACTGAGTCAAGGGCAATAACTCTAAAAATACTAAAAATATCCAGACGAAAATACCCAGGTGCACAACTTCACATGCTGATCAACATTCCCATAAAGTTTCGATGAATTCCAGGCATTAGTTGCAGAGAACTACTCCGGAAACGAAATTCGGACGGACGGACGGAAGGACGGATGGACAACGCCAAAACTATATCCCCCTCCCGATTCCATCGGCGGGGGATAAAAACCACCGATACAAGAACATATGCTACCTTCAATGCAAAGTTTGTTTCTTCTTTTCATAGTAAAGCAATTTCAACACTAGAAAGTATATTGCTTAGAACAGTAAAAATCTTGAAAAAGAGTGACCCTTTGGAAGCAATGAAAACAAAAAAATTACATAAAAGTTGCAGACTCGGTTTGATTGAGTCTGTTCATGAGGGATAAAGGAGATGGTAACATCCCAAATGCCCTCTAGCCCAAGCTTAAGCTGTATTTAATCTACAACACACGTCAACACTGTAAATTTAACATGGCATATTATCGTGAAAGACCTCAGACAGGGCTGGCAAAATCTGATTTTGATTTCCTCGTCAGTATCATTTGAATCATTTTTTTTCTTCTTGTCCGTATAATATTTTAAGAGTAAATTCTTCAAAAATAAACTTGTTCGTACAGGCTGTGGCACAACATGGGCAAAATAGACAACTGATTTGCTGGCCCTGCCTAAGCTACCTCTCTCTGTGCTTATTAAAGTCAAAATTTGGCATCTGAGTAAATCTATTAATCTAAACCCATCGGTTTAAAACCATAAATCTCCTGTCAACAACATGGTTACCAGCTTCATCACATAAAAAAAATCAAAGGTACATAATTGCTAGCCGCGATGGGGTTCAATCCCCCATCCAGGGCGAGCTATTGTTTCACCGGACAAGAAACTTTTTACTTTTTCCTTAATACTGATTGCCGGCATGCTTTCTAGGGAACGGAATTGAGTGTGTGTCCGTAACAGCTTCTTACACTATCAAACTATAATAACGAATCGTCGATGTAGTTTCTAGTAAAAGCCGTTGAACTATGAGGCATCCATGGTTTAAGGATTAGATTTATTAACGACAATGCCGTCACTCTTAATACTTAATACCGTAGATACAAAAATTGCGTCACAAAATATTTGTATGATAATCATAATAATATAGTATTACCAATTTAATCAAAACAAAGTCCCCAGTAAATATGTGTACATAATTAGTGTTCTGTATATATTACCGTGGTAACTGTTTCAACATTATAATGATTCTGTAGTAATGGTAACCCAATACCAGCGTAGAACTAAAAGCTAATCATGCTTCCATAATATTATTAAACAATATCAATATCTAGCCCAACGTTTACCGTGCAAGTAACAAAGGAGATATATAATATACCATTAAGCTTATAAGGTCTAATTAAAATATGAAATAAGTCACATGACTTGCGTTACAATTAAGCGGAAAATTTCAGACATATAATGACAGGTAGTTAAAAGACGAGGCAGCTAATATAATCATAGTAAAATCACAAGCACCTGCAAAATTTACTGCATGCTAATTTGCATGCTAATTTTAACAAATTGTCGCTAAATACTATGTCTTAAACCCATAAATTATGTTGCCGTTGACAACAGATTTTACCCGTGCGGCCAGTGCAGACCAAGATCACCCGGCTCATCAGTGGTACCACTATTTGCTATTCAAGCAATACTTTCTAGTCAAATTTTCCATTAAAATGATGTTGTTTTTTTTTTTCAAGATTAAAACATGGACAACAATCTGGAAGAAAGGTGATTTCTCGGAAGCATTAAAAACAAAACAAAAATTGAATGAAATTGTAGACTTGGTCTGATTGAGTCTGTACTGGAGGGATAATGAAAATGTGCAACTTCCCTCAAGCCCCAATACCAGCTTGAGCAGTACTCAATTTTCAACACTTAATAAATGATCTCAAAGGACCAGAAAAATATAGCACTTAAATGAAGTATGAAGTCCGTTTAAGAAATTTAGCAAGGTAAAGGTCAAAATAAATGCAGTAAGTAGTTTTAAATTTGCTTCCTCATTCCCCTATGGAACAAAAGTTCACAAAATGAAAAGGCAAAGGCCTCTTTGAAAAGCCCCACCTATGAAAACCTTTTTTAGATGATAATACAAATAATATTAAGAGTTTGTTTGATACAACTGCCAAAAATGTAGCACAATATGATCACTTTACACTACAACCCGTTATTGGGCTCATGCTGTGGTCCAAGGTCTCTACACCACGTTATAACAAAGTCCATTGGGAGCCAAGGCCTAATGAGCGTTAAACCAAGGTAAGCATCACAACTGGGTGGCAGCGTATCTATGTTGTATAGCAATACAGTATCAGGATACTTACATTAAATGCAGTGTTATAGTCCTTAGTAAATAATTTATATCCACTATAACTTTGTTCTGTTAAGTATTCTGTTTAATTCTGGCTTAATTCTCACCTTAACAACTCAATCTTGATTAGATCGTGCCTAAGATCTCAGTATAAATACATCATGCCGCTGGCTTCAAATAAGGCTGTCATTGATGGAATATTTTGTATCAATATATCAATTTGTTTAAGTTTGTGGTTAAAT